ATAGGCCCAGCCGACGATGAGGGGACCCGAGTAAAACGAGGGTACCGGGAGCGAAATGTACGTCTCTATGTTCCGCATCGTACTGACGGCATCGGTTGGTTTGCGACGCCATTGGCCGAGCGCGAGCGAGCTGACGGGCATGATCGGCTCGTGCAATCGCGTCGCGGGCATACTCGCTGGTGGACGAGGTGTGAGCTGAGATGTCGGTGTCCAGTGGTAAAGTCGGCTCTCTTCCGTACAATAAGTAGAACGGCGAAAAGCTCGCTGTGTCATGATGGGATGAATTATACGCGAAAGTTGCTTAGGGTAAGGCAAGGTCCCAGTCTCGGTGGTCGGGCGACACGTCCATAGCGAGCATATTTGTTAAAGTGTGGTTAAATCGTTCCGTGGGGCCGTTTGTTTGAGGGTGGTAAGCGGTTGTTAGTGTGTGTTGCATGGAACAAGAACGCAGAATGTCGGCGATGACTTGGGATAGAAATGTACGGCCACGGTCTGTAAGAAGCTGTCTTGGAGCACCGTGAATCAATATAACGTCCCGTAACAAGAAGTCAGCGACGTCGGTTGCATAGCTGGTCGGTAGAGCTCGCGTAATAGCGTAGCGTGTAGCGTAGTCTGTGATAAGAGCTATCCATTTGTTTCCCAATGTTGATGTGGGCAAAAGACCAAGCAGGTCTAACCCAACACGGTAAAATGGTTCCGCGGGTATGTCAATTGGTTGAAGATGGCCAGCGAGTAGCAGCGACGGTGTTTAACGACGTTGACAAAGGTCACACGTGGCAACGTATCGGCGTACCGAACGAGCAAGGCCTGGCCAGAAAAAACGGTGCCCGACGCGCTCGTACGTGCGGGATACGTCAAGGTGTCCAGCCGTGGGAGCGTCGTGAAGTTCGGTGAGAACACAGCGGCACAAATGCTTAGGCACAACAATGAGAAGGTCGGGCCCGTCTGGTCAGAAATTGCGACGGTATAACACACCCTTTTGAATGACAAAGTAGCGGACGGAAGCATCATTTGTGGAGGATTCCATATGGCTGATGATGTCAAGCAGCTCTGGATCACGCTTCGGTTCTTCCCCAATATTAAGGAAGTCAGACACTGACAAGATAGAGTTCTCCGTGGGCTCGTCAGTGTCCTCAGGATCGTCAACAGGGTACCGGGAGAGGCAATCGGCATCATGGTGTAGGTGGCCATATTTGTAGATTACCGAATAGGAAAACTCTTGCAGGCGCAAAGCCCAGCGACCAAGGCTGCCTGATGGATCTTTCAGAGAGTTGAGCCAGCAGAGTGCGTGGTGGTTGGTAACTACCGAAAATGGGCGTCCGTATAGATAAAATCGAAATTTCGCCACCGCCCATACAAGAGCTCACTTTGGATACCTCACTTTGGATGATGTGACGCTCGGCCGCCAACACCCGATTATGGATGCCTATAAATAGGATGCTCATTACCAGTGTTTATGCGGTGGCTCATACCGGTAGCTTTCCCCAACGGACGGCCGCTGATGTCAAAAACGTCGATGTAGGACAGCAGAACCCAGTGGAGCTCATCAGTCTGCTGCGGCGTTAAGTTGGAAGCAATCATCGAAGTAATAGCGCGGTCAGAGCAAGTGGCAGATGATGTTGAGCGTGGGGGTCAGAAGGGGCGGCCATCGCGAAAACATCTACCGCATTGTCTTCTAAGGTGCAGAGCAACGCCAAAGTAAGAGATCCCTTGTGGCAAAACTTGAGGTGTCAAGCTAAAGTTGACAACTGGGAGGCACCTAGAATTTCCTGCGACGGACAGAATGGTGTGCGGTAATGTAATGTCACGGCTTATGAGGACATCAGTGATAGGGGTCAGAACATAGTCACCGTCGGGAACTGGTGGTATTGAAACAACCTCTATGTAGGTCAGTGTCTGTGGAGGGAGGCACGCGTGTCCCGTTGTGCAGAGGCGACTCGGCCGTTGTGTAAGAGGTTCTGTTGCGGGCAAGTGTAGACGGAGCGTACTGGTCGAACAGTCTGAGGGCAGAATGCGCGGACAGGAAGTCAAGGCCTAACATTACGTCGTGGGGGCATTTACCAAGGACGGTGAAGATAACAACTGTGTGTCGATCTGCAATGCTCACACGAGCGGAGCACATTCCAACGATAGATGCTATTCCACCATCCGCAACACGGACGAACTGAGTGGTCGCAGGTGTGAGAGCCTTCTTGAGCTTGCGGCGAAAATCACTCGTCATCACGGAAAGTTGGGCGCCGGTGTCGACAAGAGCAGTGACATGTACGCCGTCTACTTGTACGTCTATGAGGTTTCGTTTTGTCGGTATCGTCAAAAGAGGATTTTCGGTCAGTCCGAGCGATGCAGCGCCACCTCCGGGGGCTGCAACGCTTAGTTTTCCGTCGGGGAACCTCATGGGAAGGCGGGGGAAGATGGTCGGCGGGGCTGTGGAGACAAGACTGGCAACGTTGGGGGGATGGAGAGCGGGAGTAGCGGTGTTCAGAAGCAGGTTCGGGGGCAAAATGGTCGCGGCTGGTCTCATGGCGATAGGCACGACGTGCATAGAAGGGACGAGAAGGACGGTTGTGCAGGAGGACCCCAGCGACTTCTGCAATGGCGAGAAATGTGCCCGATTCTGTGACACGAGAAGCATATCGGCTTGTCATCGTGTGTTCGCCATGCGGACGGATTACGGAACGTTGAGGGAGAGCCGGTCGGGAAGGGACGTGCAAGAGTGTATTGGGGCTGGTAGTCGGTGCGGGGAGGCGGTGAGATAGAGTGAATTCCCAAGCTGGCGATTTCCTGCCAGACGACTGCTTGAATGAGAGGCAACGTGATTGGCGAAGAGGGGTCAGGGGACATTGGTCCCACCTTAGCTGGAGCAGCCGCTTCAAGCTCCCGCCTGACGATTCGCGTCAAGTTGTCACAGGTGTCTGGTGGATGATATGTGTCGAGACACGAGGACGTCGCAGTGGTGTTCTGGAGGCCCTGTAACTGATGGGATATGCATCTGCTTTTAGCTTGTTGGAACCAACGGCATTCTTGAATGATCGCATCAACAGATGACACATTGTTGAATACCAACAAGTTGAACGCATCGTCGGCGATACCCTTTAATATATGCGCAACTTTTTCAGGTTCAGACATATTTTCTTCAGCTTGGCGGCATAGTGAAAGGACAGCCTGAATATAACCGATGTAGGGCTCCGTAGAAGATTGTGTGTGAGTCGACGACTCATTTTTTGCAGCTTCACGACGACCAGAGGTGTTGCCAAAAAGCTCACGGATCTTTGCCTTGAAGCTGTCCCAGCTTGTTATGTCATGCTCGTGATTATCAATCCAAACACGACGGGTTCCGTCGAGATAAAAGATGTTTGCGAGCATAAGAGTGGGATCCCACCTGTAAGTGGCGCTGATGCGTTCGTAGAGGCATAACCACTGGTCGACGTTGGAACCCTCGCTGCCCGAGAACACGCCGGGGTCTTCGAGTGCGGGAAGCGTCACGAAAGTTGTTGCGGGCGCTGGGTTGACAGGTCGGGCAGAAGGGGGAGCGGCCGGAGAGGATGTAGCCGAGTCTTGAGTGGTCATGTTGTAAGCTGCGAGGGAGCGTCCGCTTCGGAGTTCCGCGGCGAGGACGGGGATCGCACAACTCCACCAAATATGTTATGAGAAGGAGACTGGCTCAGAGAGGTAGTCACCGATGTATTTACAGCCGGTTAGGCGAGCAGCGCCAGCCACACAGATTAGCTCGCGCCAGTCTATCTGCTTTGTCTTCTTCAGCTTCATGCACAGGCACGTAGCAATATTTCGGAATCAGATAGAAAAAAAGCTACAAACACTGAAAATTCTTTTTCAAAAAACCCACTTTTTTTATGTCCCATTGAGAATAAATTCGACATGACTCGTGCTTCTCTCCGGTTATAACAGACCCATTCAGTGTTTTTATAAAAGTCTGTTGTAACAGTACTTGGATTTTACATACCCCTTTTACAACATGCCAAGGTCCTCTTCACAACAGAGGTCTGATGTAAATGCAAGAAAGAAAAATAATCTAGCATAAAGACACCAGCGCGCGATATGCAACATGGAACTTCTGAGTCGTGAATGCGAGGCATTAACCACTGAGCCACGAAGGAGCTCCTCCTTCAACGTTGAAACAGCAAGCTATCTATATCTAACACTTACCGCTGCTGATTGCGATCTCGGGCGAACTCGTGTTTGCAGCATTACCAGCGAGATGGCACAATGAGTGCGCATCGCCAGATTGTCACGATGTGGCGACACGTGCTGATGCGTTCATCTCCCACGCGTGTTGTGCTCTTAGGAGGAGAAGGGGTAAAGGGTCACGTGTGTGCACTGATCTCGCGGAGGAGAGAATGTAGGCTTTAGGCTTTCACCACAACAATTCTGTTGTAGTTACGGGCACACAAAGGTCACTGCACTTGCTGCACTGTCTTCATTTGTGAGAAGAGTTTGTGTTACTTCGCTGTGTCTCAGACACAACGAAGTAACAACTGAGGCACCTATTCGAGTTCATCTGTATCTGTTAGTATGTTTCGTGCATCATTTGTGCATAAGCAATGAGGGGCACGTTTTGATCTGCTTGCCATTTTTGAAGTGACATTTCAATTTGTTGTATTGCATTCATTGCTCTGCCTTTGCGGCAAATCTGTGACTTTCCTAGTTAAGTGATCTACCATAGGCATTCAGTGAAAGGTCAAGGCTGTGCTAGCCGGTTTGGAGTATGTACTTGAAGGAAAAAGCCAGGTGGCAGTGGGAGCATTTGGTGGAAGTTGTAAATGACACACAGACAGAGAATTACAGTGTGTTATTCTTTTTTTATGTGATTCTTGAAGAAGTGTATAAATATTTTCGGTGTGATGCTCTCATGCAACTGCATGTTTTGTATTTCTTGATGCGCAGAGTCAGTAACTGTTATGGGAGCTCAATGGATAGTAACTGCAGCTTTACTCACTAGTGCCAGTCAGCTAGAGTGCTTTTGTGGTTGTTTTTCATGACAGGCCTGGACAGTTGCTTTGCCTGGCTCTGTGCTTGGGCTCCCTGGTTCCAATAGCACGAGGCGATCAGGAGCTGTGGCAAATGGTGATTGACAGTTGCACTCGCTTCTGCCAAGACCTCCGTGCAGCTGATCCAGACACCTGCTCCTTTGAGGTGGGCATCCTTATCTACTGTCAATATGCATTTGTTGATATGCGAGGTTGTGTTGAGTCATGTGAAAGTTTGAGAGTTTCCTAAAATTCGCAAGTTGCGGGATCAAATCCCAGCTGCAGTGGCGGCATTTTTAATGGAGGGGAAAATGCTTTAGGCCAGTGTGCTCAGATTTTGGTGCACGTTAAAGAACACCAGGTGGTAGAAATTGCCAGAGGCCTCCACTGCGCTGTCTCTTCTAATCATACGGTAATTTTTAGACGTTAAACCCCACATAATCAATCAATCACTTAATCAGTCAATCAGAGTTTCCTAAAATAATTGACTCGGGCGCTGCGATTGCCACATAATCAATCAATCACTTAATCAGTCAATCAGAGTTTCCTAAAATAATTGACTCGGGCGCTGCGATTGTTCAGCAATCATGGGAATGATGGGTAGTACACAGATTTGCCTAGTCTTCGTATTTGCGGGTGGCGAATCGCACTTGTGGCTTTGTTTATTGCTGTGTTTTGAAGGAAAGAACCAACCTTTTTGAACTTGGAGGCGCGATTTGATATTGTAAGCCTAAAAGAATAAGGTGGTAGTCCCTCTATCGCCCGGCGCGTTTTGTTTGACGAAACGGGACTGGTGCAAGAAGGGTGACACGGCGCGATGAAGAAGGACACTTCATTACACTTAACGACACAAGGAACAAAAACACGCATAAATATGCACTCACAGGATAGAAATAACTAGTCCTAGCAAGGCTAATTTGTACGTGCATCCCTATAGTCACAGTCAGTAACTCACATCGGCCGGTGACACCCGAGCATCGCTCACCGTGTCGTTCCATGCTGTGAAAAGGCACTCCCTCAACAAGGCGACACATGCGATGTCTTTCCCATTCGGTGGGGGAACTCGTGGTGCTGGCAGGAACTTCAGGCACCTCCCAGACCCTTCCGACCTGTGCGCCGTTGATGTGACAGATAGGTGTATGCGAGCCCGGGCTCGTTGAAGGTTGGCAGCGTGATGCTCACCTGTTCTAGCCATTTGATGCACCAACACTTCACCGTATGAACGTGCACCATACTTCATCATCATCATCATCAGCCTGACTACATCCACTGCAGGACGAAGGCCTCTACCATGTTCCGCCAGTTAACCCGGTCCTGTGCTTGCTGCTGCTAATTTATACCTGCAAACTTCTTAATCTCATCTGACCACCTAACTGTCTGTCTCCCCCTAACCCGCCTGCCTTCTCTGGGAATCCAGTTAGTTACCCTTAATTACCAGCGGTTATCCTGTCTTCGCGCTACATGCCCGGCCCATGTCCATTTCCTCTTCTTGATTTCAGCTATGGTGTCCTTAACCCCTGTTTGTTCCCTAATCCACTCAGCTCTCTTCTTGTCTCTTACGGTTACACCTACCATTTCTACCATTTCTTTCCATTGCTCACTGCGTCTTCCTCAATTTAAGCTGAACCCTCTTTGTAAGTCTCCAGGTTTCTGCTCCATAGCCAAGTACCGGCAAGATACAGCTGTTATATACCTTCTTCTTGAGGGATAGTGTCAATCTACCTGTCATAATTTGAGAGTGCTTGCCAAATGTGCTCCACCCCATTCTTATTCTTCTAGTTACTTCAATCTCGTGATTCGGCTCCGCGGTTATTACCTGCCCTAAGTTGACATAGTCTTTTACAAATTGAAGTGCACTATTACCTATCTCGAAGCGCTACTCTCTTCCGAGGTTGTTGTACATTACTTTCATTTTCTGCCGATTAATTTTAAGACCCACCTTTCTGCTCTCCTTGTCTAACTCAGTAATCATGAATTGCAATTCGTCCCCTGAGTTACTCAGCAATGCAATGTCATCGGTGAAGTGCAGGTTACTAAGGTACTCTCCAGTAACTCTTATCCCTAACTGTTCCCATTCTAGGCTTCTGAAAACCTCCTGTAAGCATGCGGTAAATAGCATTGGGGAGATTGTGTCCCCCTATCTTACACCCTTCTTGATTGGTATTCTATTGCTTTCTTTATGAAGAACTATGGTAGCAGTTGATCCCTCGTAGATTTCTTCCAGGATGTTTATATATACTTCATTGACACCCTGATTCTGCAGTGTCTGCATGACGGCTGATATTTCTACTGAATCAAATGCCTTCTCGTAATCTATGAAGGCTATGTATAGTGGTTGGTTATATTCTGAGCATTTCTCTATTACCTGATTGATAGTATGAATGTGGTCGATTGTTGAGTAGCCTGTTCGGAATCCTGCTTGTTCCTTTGGTTGATTGAATTGTAATGTTTTCTTTACTCTGTTAGTAATTACCTTTGTAAATAGCTTGTATACTACAGAGATCAAGCTGATCGGCCTGTTACTCTTCAAGTCCTTGTCATCTCCTTTCTTATTGACGTTTCGGCCGTGGGTCCGGCCTTCATCATTCTGATCATCATCTTGTATCTTTTATTCATCTTGATTCATCTTGTATCTTTTATTCAGTTTAGTTACGATACCTACCACCCTTTCATTAATGCTATAGTACTCCTTTATCTTGCCAGCTATGTTTCTGTGAATTAGGAACCCCACTCCCAGTTCTTTTCTGTCAGCCATGCCCCGATAGCAAAGGACGTGCCCATTCTGTAGCATCGTATATGCCTCATCTGTCCTCCTAACCTCACTGAGGCCTATTATATCCTAATTAACACCCTCTAGCTCCTCGAATAGTACAGATACACTTCCCTCACTAGATAAGGTTCCAGCGTTAAACGTTGCCAAGTTCAGGTTCCAATGGCGGCCTGTCCGGATCCAGAGATTCTTAGCAGCCTCTGCTGCGTTGCAGATCTGACCGCCGCTGTGGTCAGTTGCTTCGCAGCTGCTGGGAACTGAGGGCCGTGAGTTATTTGACGTATGCATGTGGGAGGTAGTGGCCAGATACTGCACCAGGGTGGCCAATCCTTCTCTGGTGGGGGAGTGCGTTCCCGGCGGTGGTTACCGGTGAGGCCGCACCACAGGCCTCTTAATGCAGTTCCATCTTCCATCACCACGCAGATTTTTGTTTTCAGTCTGGTTGGGAGCTGCGCGGCACCGGGATTCGAACCACGGACCTTTTGCATGCGAGGCAGATGCTCTAACCACTACGCCATCACTGCATCGACGCACCATACTTCAATGTCCATTTATTGTTGTAACCCGTGAATGTCACAGAAACAGTGAATGAGCATGCAATACTATACCAACTGTAATTTCACCGAACAGCACATTAGAAAAAAAATAGATGGCTTAAACATTTATAACCTGTATATATCTTTTCTCCAAAATCGTAAGCCATAAACAATGACCGATCATTTGACTCAAGGCTTATGTTATGGCATCCCAAACCAAGCGATTTCGGGTTGTCGCTCGCTGACGAAGCCCGTACACCAAAGATGCACTGAAGCCTGTTTGGTTCAACACGTCTCTAAAACACTGCATGTGACCAACCAGACGCTCATTGGAGTTTGTGCGGCAAGGGCTCCATCTAAACATTTGTCATTGCCTTCCTGCACACTGAGACAGGTGCAGGTGCATAGGAACGATATCCTTTTGCACGAGATCATCTTTCCTTGCCTTATCATATTTAAAGAGACGCATACTTTTAGATGAAGAGCCCTCGACAACCTGAGCTGCCACAGCAAACATATCTGGCTCTTGACTAGAATTTCTCTTGCCATCTCCTGCCATTGCCTCTCTGAGAACTCAGCTCTAACGTAACGCCGTGACAAGGTTCAAGACTAAGTTTACAAAGACATTGGGGCTCAGTCTCGCAAAAAGCGCTTGCGGAATTCACATGTGTGTCTGGTTTCCACTCCTTGTTATCACACTGCATAGCTTTATCTTTTGCCAGTAAAGGGGTACTGACACAAAATTTTGCAGCCGAAATAGCCTGCGGGGTGGATTTCCCTGAACATTTGTATATCATCTGCAAAATATCGACTGCAAATGGAAAGTATCTCAAATATAATTTCGATGTTTGCGTGAGACCTTGACTCTATGGTGCCATTGACACCCTCGAAGGGGCTCCCCACTTTCTTTCTGTCGCCACAGTGCAGTCAATAAAACAAGTTATGATGACATCATAGCCATCTTTTTTATTTTGCCGTGTTTGTTCCCGCAGTCTATACTTCCCTGTGGCTGGTTGCAACTGCATGGCCGTGGCGTACGCTTAGGCAGTTTTGTGTTCGGCAATAATGCAGTTCCGTTTGTTCTTCGAAAAAAAATTCTTGATACGGACCGTGCAAAAGTGTGTGGCAGTTTTGTGTGCTGACGTGGTCAGGAGCTGCACACGCTAGGTGGTGATATTTGCACCCGGTTTTGGAGCTCTCTCAAACTGAAACTGAAACTGGTCGATAATGAGGACCCTGTAGTTAATTATCCATCACGTGCGGCAGCAAACGGTGTGTCATGTCATGACTAACAGGTCCACAGCAACACATTGCAGCAGAAAAACGCGAGGCCAAAAACCTAAATTTACACTTGTCAGCTTTGTGTCCCCTGTTTTGGCATAGCTGACAAATTACAGGTGATCCCTGTTGCCTGCACTTCATGGCTATATGCCATAAATGATTGTATAAGAAACACCACAGTTGTGCTCTCGCCTTACTTTTTGGAGCTTCGCTTGTGCATTCTCCTTCCTCAAGGTTGTCGCACGCCACTTTTTTGAGATTCCTTGGCCCTTGAGCCTAAAAAAACTCGACAGTCTGCCTTCCCATTTCCTCCACTGTGCCCACTTTTCTTTCCTTCAAAAATATCGCCAGCTTATTGCTCAAACGGTTGAGGAATAGCTCGCCAACTATTTCATCGCAGACTCCTTCGTATGTTTTTTTCTGTGTCTGAGAGCTCCATCCAGGATCAAAGTATAGTTGGTGAGACGGCACACAAACTGTTTACCCGTTTCAGAATTCTCGGCCTTACACAGTAAAAACTTCTCGTGAAACCCTTCAGCCTTCAATCAAAAATGCTCCGACAAAGTTTTCTTTTCTTTC